AAACCCCGCAACGAACCCGTGGCAGCCCGTGGCCTCCGCGCAGGCACGCAAGATGGCAACCTCCGTTGGAGATCCAGTCCTCGGTTTGAAATCATCTTCTGATTTTCTAGAACTGCATGCAGGCCGCAGGCTACGACGCAGAAAGCCACATGGCCGTACCCTGCGAGATAGGGTCTGGACCACCGCTCTTGCCCGCCCTCGACCTCACCGCCAAGGCACGCGCTGCACAGAAAATTAAGCGTCCTCACAGCTGACACGCTTGGGGACCGGACCTTGAACTCGGCGCCGTTGTTGAGAATTCCACAAAGCTGAGCAGGGCACGCAACATGAAACGGGCTGCGAGAAAGCAGTTTTGACAAGTTTTTGCCGGAGTGAGCTGAGCCATGGACCGAAGTTGCCTCTAAGCTCTTCATGGCGTTGAACTTTCCACTGTCTTTGTCACGATTGTAGACCTGACCAGACACATATTGTCGGCAAGCAGGCAGCGAAAGGACGGAACTGCCTCCAAGTTCAGATTTGCTCCAGCTATCGGCACCACCAAGTCCTTCCAGAAACTGTTTGCACCCTGCTGCCGCAGAAAGAATCTGGCCGGAGTTCTTTGCCTGAACGGCCATCTCGCCCGTGGTCAGCGTGCCTGGAAATTTCATCCACTTGCTTTGCTTCAGATATCCAGGTCGTTAATGAGCGAACAAGCAACGGGCCTGTCTTGTCGGAGCAGAAAACTGACACGCACCCCAAGGTCTCAACGGCGTCAATCTTGCGAACAATAACCTGAAAGTTCAATACAGACGCATGTCCGGAGTCACGGAAAAAAGGACGTCTAATAATGCAGGCCAAATGACATTTCGCGTTGCCATTTGATCCGAAGCAATCATGAGAGAGATTGTCACGGTAGGCAAAAGACCCTCTGGGACCTGCATGCCGGCGAACGAAACCGAGGCTGACTCACTTGCAGGAAAGAGAGTCAGAGAACTTGAGAGTGAGAGCAGGCGAGAGTGAGCTGCAGCAATGCCTGCGCAAAGAGTGCCGCAGCACTGTTTTGCAGAATTTCCGCCGGTCCACGCTTCACAGGAGAAAGCAGGTTGGCCAGCAAGCTCAACAAGCCTAAGTGGACATGAGGGCCAACAGGCTACTGTTTGGCCCGGCTTCTGTACTTCAGATGCAGGCCAACACAAATGGCAACGACGGCAATGATGTGGACCTGAAAGCCAACACAGACTCACACCACGGCATGCTACAACGAATTTGTAACAGCTGACTGGTTCCTCGACGGCACGCTCAGTTTGGTGCAAAATGCTCTATTTGGATCTCAAGAGTCGATTTCACCCTCGACGACTTGATTCCTGACAAGCCACCGAGGATGCTGCTGGCTTGCAAAATGGAAAAGCTTGGAAAAACCGCACACAACAAGTACCCATCCTTGTGCAATCTTGCCAAGGAAGGTCGCATCGCCAGTGGCATGCACCAGGCAAGTGGCATTGCCCTGACGGCACGGCGGCACGGCGGCACGGGCCGCAGAGCAGCTCTGTGCTGCCACTGGCGACTGCCACATCACTCCCTGCCTTGAGCACCGTTGTTCCAAAGAAGGCCAGGTTGCGTGCTTCAGGTGGTGGACATGTGACCTGGGCACAGACTTCAGACTTCCCAAACTCGCAGCGGAACCGGAACGGGGCTGGGCTCTTGGCCGGCTCCGTCTTGGTGTGCCGTGGTTCCGGCATCGACTCCCCCGTCAACGCCGAGTTGTCCACCTGGCAAAGGGAAAGGGAGCCGCCCGTCGCGTCTCTCGGCTCCGATCTGCTCCGCGCCTCGGTCCCGTCGGTGCAGTGCAGGATGCGCACGTCCGCCGGGATCCGATCGCCGGCCTCCACTCATGCCATGCGCTCATGCCAGGCGCTGTTTAAAACATGAGCCTTCAAGCTTTTTAAGCCTTGAAGCCTTTCAGACGACAGCAGCCTGGAGGAAGATGATGTCGCCGGGGACCAGATGCAGAGGATCCACCTCCAAGTCCACGCGGCGACCTTTGTCGATGCGTACCTCCGATCGTCTGTCTTGCATCTGCAGAGCACAAGAGCGCTTCGACGCTTCGACGGCGCACAGCTGGCACCTTGGCAGCGGCCTCAGAGCTATGCGGGGGCGGCAGAGGTGCTTTTGGGGCGTTTGGGGGGGGGGGGGGGTGCTTTTGCTTGGAGCTTTGACCTTGGCGGCCAGGGCCAGGGCCTGCAGTTTCTGCATGGCTTCCATCTGGGACTCAGCCTGCGAGCGCCAGCCCCCAGGTCTTGCTGCATTGCTACGGTCGAGGAGTGCTCTACTAGGCAGTTCAAGAATGTGGTAGATAATGTTATGATCTATGGTTTTCGTCCGGAGCCTTGAGCTCAGAGTACCACTGGAGGAGAGCTGCCATGACGATGACAGACCTGGCTTCCGCTTCGCTGTACAAAGTCTCAACAAGGCTACGTCTTCGTGACTCCTTTGCTGGGCGCGCGACGAAAGGATGATGGGTGTGACGTAGTCGGGGCCCTCTTCGCTGTGCGCCGCCAAGGCCTGCCGTGCCAAGGGCCGTCCAACGTCGATGTGTCAGAGTGCAGAGCACAGAAAGAGCCCAACGTGACCTCCGAAGAGGCAGTGGCATTGAGGCTAGGTGCCTCTGCACCTGACACTCTCGGCAGCGGCTGCAGCTATCTGCAGCTCTTCGGCTTCGGGGCTGGGATGTCATACAAACCACGGCTGACATGTTCCACATGTCTGTTGATTTTATCTGTTTGCTGTGAACGCTATTAGCCATGCGTCGCTGGTGCTGCATCCAAGGCTTGGCTGAGAGTTGCTCGCTCCGGTACTGGAGCAAGATCGCTCGTCGTCCGCTGGAGGCTCAAAAACAGGCTGCAGGTTCCGAGCCTGATCCTTCAGTGCAACGAACTAAGGTCCAGGCTGCTTGACTCCCCTGAGAATATGAGAATCAACGCGACCTGCACAGTCTGACGTCAAAAGGAGCAACACAGTCAAGTCCAGCTGTGACGAACCTCAGCCGCGACGCAGGACCACAGGAGGATGTTGAAAATGCCCATAAACGTCTGCCTGTGTCGTTGCAAGGACTGCGGTACGTGGCAGGTGAGGCACGTGTAGTAGTTACTCGCAACGCAACACGGGCCTCAACAACTTGATCCAGATGTTCTCCCGCTTTGGCGGGGTGATCTCGTTTTTGCCATACCTGTTGGTGCAAAGCATGAGTCGCGACGCAGCCTGGAGATGAAGTGCTTTCTCGGGCTCGCACACGTTGAAGTAAACTCGTGCTTGCTCCTCCTTCAGGCCACAGAGCCCCGTCTTGCACCTCGAACGAACGGCTTTGCCGGAACTCATGAACAGGGTGCACTCAGAGACGCTGGGGCAAGAACGAACCCTCACCCAATTTGCTCTTGAAAATGGCTGAAAGCCTTCCACACAGCTGAGAGGTACCGGCAAGAGAACAGAGATGATTGCGTAGCAAGCGCATGATTTGACATCTGCAGCTCTCATTTGTCCTTTCCCCGAACCGGGTGCCTGTCTGGCTGAATCGTATGAACCAGAGTCTTGTAGTCCTGTGCATGCAGGCAATGCATGAAGCCCTGGAGCCAGCTTACCTGTGGCTCAAACGCTTTGCGCTCGCTGTCCTTTTCATCCTCGGTGATGTCTTTTGGGTGGAGCCGCTTGTACCTCACAGCGATTCAAAGCGATTCATGCACCCTGACAAAACCATACGGCAACACCAAAGGAACCTCTGTCGACAGGCTTCCGCTTCGATGATGATGGCACTGGAATTGCTGATGTGACCTGCTCAGATGGATCTCTACCGGCCTCAACAAGCTGGCTACATCTCACTTTGGCTTTCTGGGCTGTTGACTCTCTGATCTCGCGAGATTCGAAGCACTTACATTCTTCGCCTGCGAAAAATGCTTCCAGACATCGCGCGCACGGCAATCTGTAGGTGCCGATGATTTGCTGATGCATGCTGGTGCCTCATTTGTGGGCAGAATGTTACTGATCAGGAGCTCGCGGTGAGAGTGCTCCATGGCGTCCTGCGGCACAGCGTGTGCTACAACATGCTACAACATGCAGTGTCAGGCAGCGACATCCGCGCACGAAGGCTTGTAGACGCACACTTACTTAAGACGGCGAGCCCGACACCAGTGAGCTAGAACCGGCTCTGGGCAAGCCTGGAGCGGCCTTTGTTCATGAGGAAGCACTGCGTGCAGTCCGCACTCTGCAAAAACTCTCAGGAGGAAAAGGCTGAGATGTGATCCAAACGAGAATGTCGAGCACAGCTTTGGGCCGGGCCAGGTGCGGGGCCAGGGCTGGGACGAAAACTCCCGAATCCCAGTAGCCGTCTGAGCGAATTAATCGCTTTCACGCCCTGTCGGTGTTCTGGGACACCCACCAACAAACAAAAAGGGGGAGACGGAGAAACTAATGCTCATCGGGCCGCACTGCCCTAAAACTTCCACACCGTCAGGTGCCTAGCCTCGACTGTCCGTGGCCTATCATCCAAACGGTGCAGTTGCCGGACAAACCTATCACCTTCGCTACAACAAGTCTGCAGACTGCTTCCATCGGTCCTGTCCGTCGCCTTCGACGGGAGCTTGCTACTTCATGTGCCAAAACGGCAGCAAAACAGCGGACACGGTTGCAGGCTGATGGAGCATACTCTCTTCAAGCGGATGCATACCTACTCGGATCGTAGTTCCTCCCAGGATGCGAAGCGGCCCAAAAACAGCTTGCAGCTTGATGCGATGCACGCAAACATGTGGCGGGCGCACCGCTGCTCTTCTTGTCATCTCGTCATCTGCATCCTGGGCTCAGCCGCATGCCGAGCTGCGATGCAAGCTACCGGTATGTTGAGGTTGTAACGCAGCCTTGGCCTCTCGTGCTCCATGCAGCATGCGTTGAATGATTCCGGTGCTCGGAGCTTGCTCCATCTTGCTCCTTTTGTCTGCTCTGCGCATGCCACGCCATTATCAGCATCTCCAGTCTCAGACCTGGCGGCGAAGCGCGAAGTCAGCAGAAACACTTACTTGCCGACCGGCTGTGGAAGCACAGCACGTCGCATCGCTCAACGACGGCCAGTCCTCGGACAGCTTTCCAGCAGCTCGCACCTCGCGCGGCCACTTAGGAGCTCGCAGACGTGGGGCCAACGTGGACTCTCTCGGCCTGGCGGGCTTCCTGAACCGCCGCGCAGCAGCAGCAGCAAGCCCAGAGCGCCACATCCTTTCTGGCGGTGCATCCCGGCAATGACAAGCACCTTCTCCCGAAGAGGTGGGGTCCTTCACCTGATCCGTTGGCTCGTTTCGGATGGAAAAGAGCTTCCGGAGCTGCTGCCGGTAGTACCTGGCGGTACGCTGCGATACACATGTACGGGCTGAGCCTCACGCACATTCTGGTACTGCAGCTGAAAAGTAGAGTCGTCACGCAAAGACGAGTGTGCCAGCAATCCATGCCTCGGCTGCACCAGGTTCGACAGCAGCATGGCAGCATCTCCCCTTCCCGCACTCGTGATATCCCAGCGGCCACGAATCCGAGCGTGATGTCGAAGCGGTTCGCCCAAGAGCAAAGCATGTTGATGACGAAGAACAGCAAAAAGGCGGTCCAGAAGCCCAGCATCCCCGTGGCGTTCATAGTGTCAGCCTCTGGTCGAAGCAAGGAACGGTGGAGGAGAGGCGAGAGGTACTTTGCACAAGTCAGAGCTAAGGCAGTGACCCATCGACACGGCAGGCAGAAGAAGCTCAAGCAGGTCACATGCATGTCCTTCAAGCACGCTTGTAGCCATACCGAAAACGTTCAAGAAGGACCAGCCGGACCTCGAAAAAGTTGCAGATGCCAAACTGGAAGTCATCGCTCAACTCCTCTTTCGCCTTTAGCTCAGAGAACAGACGTGAGAGTCTCCCCCCACACACCCTTCGCACATGCACCGCGCCTGGACTTCCACTGGGGGGTCTTTCCACAGGTACGCGTAGATCGCAGCACAAGAGAAGACCTCATCGCAGCGTGTGAAGAGCCGGGCGACTCTGCCTCTCGAGCCCTCTGTTACTGTTCAGGACCCCTGCTGTGCAGGAGTAGACCGCGAAGACAAAGGCCAGAGTGCGCAGCTGAAGCCACGCCAGCATCCTCTGCTGGTCCACGAGCTCTTTGATCTCTTCGTCGCTTCTCGGCCCCACGTGCACCACCGGAAGGTCCTGTGCGCAGTTGTGCACAGTCGTGAGGGAGCCGTGGCACCGCGGCCCTCTGCCCGCCAGGCCTTGTCCTCCTTGGGGTCGGCGCGCTTCTGGACGAGCTGCTGCAACAGCACGGAGGGACCTCAGCGAACATGGGCGCTCGATGCTCGACTCCACAGCATTCCACCGCGACATCGAGGCGCAAGCTCGCTGACCGAAGGAGTTCTGTCAGGCGACCCGTGGCAGTGAGTTCAGAGACCTGCGCAAAAGCGAATGATAAGGTCATGTCACAAGCAAGATGGAGCTCACGCGTCGCTGTTGGATGTCATGCCTCTGGCTTGGAGGCCATGGCAGGTTCTCCACCATCGGAACCTTTACGTCCTGTTCGGGTGACGGCAAGTTCGACCTTTGTTGTGCCGCACCGGGACTGCACATGTCACTGTTGCAATTACAAAGCGACGAAAGCGAGTCCCAGAATGACAGCCGCGTCCGCTGTCAGCAGCAGGCTGATCAAGCACAGGAGCCTCGAGCAAGAGATAGCAAAAGCGACTACCACATGGATGGCAAACCTTCATGTGGCCACGGAGTTCTGCGTGCCGGACCGAGACATAGCGTCGGTTGTCGACACAGCTGCTACAATGTGCCGGAGGCACTCGGATGAGCCGACAGTCAGCTGCAATGGACCGACGGTATAAGTGTATCAGACTGTGACTGGATTGTCGTGCCCATGACGGAACGCATAAGTTCATAACCACAAAGCTGTCAAAAGCTGCTCCCTTGGCCGACGCCCGCTTTTTGCTTCCAAAACAAGCTGACATCGTGCAGCTTGCAGACGGAGCCTCCAGCATTCGCTCAGCTTCTGGTACCGGTTATTGCTTCATAGCATCATGGGATACCAAACCTGCAGTATTGGAGTGTTTGTCAAGCGGACGGACTTTGGGACCGTGTTGCAATGTCCACCATCTTGGAGACCATGATTTTTTCGCGATCATCAACACAGAGCCCAAAGTGTATCGTGTGTCGAAGAACCTGTGTGGGCCGCCGTCTCGGAGGCCATGATAGGCTGCAATCGATGTCTTCTAACAGCTGGGCCACTCGTGGCAGCTTCTCTCGAAGTTCCTGTGTGGGCCCCATGCCCGAAGATTCGGGCCTCGATGAGATCCTGAAAGCTGAATCCCCAGAAATCTCTGCATGCTTGGAAGCCAAGGGAGTGGCCGGCCACAATCCACGGATGAATACGAAGCCTTCAGGAATTGTCCAGAAGACCGAAACACGCTGGGCTGGTGGGGGCACTGGTGAAAACCACTGTACCTCTGAATGACCATGCCTTGGGCAATGGCTCTGACTGATATCGGCAACTTTCCAGCATGTTTTCGCCAGAATGTAGCCGTCATGCACCCGGTCGCCCCAGCATGGCCTGGGCAGTTTGGCACCATGTCATAGCACCACAGTTCACTACAGCACCACTGCAGCACAACATACCACAAACCCTATCGACGAAACAGCATGTTGCCGCAAACTTCCGTGGTGGTTCAACTCCCGAACAGATGCCCATCTGTGCGAGTGCAATATCATTCATCGATGGACACCACAAACGCTCAAAACCTACGTCTAAAAACTGTTCGCGTCCTCTCTGTGCGACTCGACGATGTGCGTTTATGAACGAAGACGTGATGAAGCGGATGGTCGCGTCACAGACGCGATGACGCCATGCATAATTTGCAAAAGGGGACAACATCGTGAACGCACAACAGGCTCGCAAGCTCGCTATGCAGCGGTGGCAACATGCAGCGCTCGGGTGAGGGGTATGGTCCACCTCACAAGCAATCTTCGCGATGTTGTTTGAACTTTTCGCAGCATTCTCGCAGTGCTCAACATAGACTGGTCCACATGTATGACAGGATCGGGATGTATGCATGGATGCGGTGTAGAAACTGCCCGGACCCAGCATACAGCACCGCAAGTACCACGCCACGACGATGCGCGAAGCTGCCGAGAATATGTTGACAAGTCTGGTATCCTCTCCGATGCTCTGCGAGCTGAGCTTCGGGCGCAGCTATCACAGCCTGCCAGCCTCCTTTAGCATGTTCCGGTAGGTGTGGCGAAATAAGTACTCCATCGGATGGGTCCTGAGCGCCCAAACACGATTGCGGCTCAAGCCATCACACACAATCTCGGGGACAGGCCATGAGGTAGCTCCGGTGGCTGCGTGGTAGTAGAAAGCCTTGCCCTTGGTACAAGGACTTGTTGGCGATGCAGACAAGTCTGTAGGCAAGAAGCTTCGAGGTGCCGACGCTGGCGTCGAAGTGCACCGTCCAGTCGAACGGCAGCGGCGCTTTCAAGGCCTCCACTCTAGGGCGAATGCGATGATGTCAATGTGGCTCTTGCGATGTGCCTCAACAGCGATCCATAGAAGATCGCTGTCGGCGATTGGGTCCATCCCCAGGTGCCGAGAATACCTGACAAATGCAAGCGTCTCCAAACACAGCTCGGACGAATAGAAGCTGTGATCTTCTTGGGCTCCCTGCTCAATCAGCTCTGGCGTGTACGGCAGCCGGGCCTGGGTCCAGCGAAGAGAAGGGCGACATCATGCTCCACATACTCGTGCCGAGCTCACTGCCAGCTCCAGCGCCTCCAGCAGCAAAGGGGATGGACCCTGCACCGAAGCTCGGATGATGACACGAACTTCTCAGCTTGTCGAACCAAATCTCACGCAGCTCTGCACAGCTATCCACACCGTTTACCCTCAAAGACGGCCTCTGGAAGGCCTCGAGTCATCCAGACCGGCCTCGACGCACACATCCTACACCCACAAGGATCGGTGGCAAACGTGTATGGTTTGCTCCTGCAAGTCCCGACACCTGTATCTTAAATGCTAGACTCGACATCTGGAGAGGAAACTGGATGCAGAGCTGAAACATCGGAAAGTCGTCGACCACTGATTGTGTGTTTGTGTTTGGGCCTTAGAAGTTCGCTCCCCACAGCCAGGAACAATTTCTGGGATTCTGGAACTCGAAGATGGCACGATTGTGCTTGGAAAGGTGCCGGTGTTGAAGAGAGTTCCGCGCTGTGTGGGGTTCTGGCCTTGATGAGGCATGCCTTCTGGGTTTGCAGAGCTAGGTGTTCTTCCAGTATCAAGACGATGTCCGAAAAACGAGACAATCACATGACAGCTTCGCGAAGGCATGGTGAGTTCATGGCATTCAATCTGACAGCTTGAGGTATCGGGTCGTGCTAAGTGCGTCCAATTCAAGCACCAGGAGTCCGATGCCGTCAGTGCCGTTTCTGCCCGGGCTCCGGGCTGGCTGTCTGGGGCTGTCGAGGATGCTGGTGACCTTGCCGACACAAACCACTTCTGAAGGTCTGGAATCCAGAGCCCGAGCCCAAACGAAAACCGCAGCAACACACAGCAAGCGGTAAACTCCCCACCACCACTGCGAGGTGCGTCATCCTCCCCTGCTTACTCCTCCGCCTCCTGCAACTCCTCTTACGCTGCTGCCGCTGGTGCAGCCCTCGTGGTTACAAAGCGATTGAGCGGTGCATCCTCTGGCATGTTGACAATGGCGTGAACCACATCGGCACCGATGTTCGAGAAGGACTCTGACAATCCGCATGTTCAGTTGTCGCTCGTGTCGCATGTTAGGGATTACAACAGGGTGTGTCTTGCTCATGTTCGCACTACCACAAACCGTCGGTCTAGTTTATGACCGTCGCACCTTGTTCTTCCCCCACTCTTTCACTGGGCTTCCTCTGTCGTGCATGCTGACGATATGACGATATTGCTGAAGACTGATAACCACTGTCTGCAGTCGCAGAGTTTCATGCAGCAGTGGCATCAAGATGAACCAGGCGCCCAACGCCAAGGGTGGCAGCATAAACTCCTCTCGCAGCTTGAACATGTTCGTGCGCCGGACCCAGACCCGTTCAAGACTTGCTCGATGGTTCGGAGTGCTTGATGCTACTTGCCTCGGGCGGTGCCGTCAGAGTCAAGCCGGGCGGGAGACCGGACTGTGCCTGAGCCATCTCTGAAGCGCTCGTCAGAAGATCACAACGGCGGCACGTGAGCCTCGCCCGGCTCTTCCTCCTCGGTCTCCGCGTCGCTGAGCCCAGTTGGGTCCTTCGCTGCACTTCCCCTTTTGCTCGGGGGGTTTCGGTGCAGTTCACCTCGCGGCATTTGCGCCTGCAACGGCTCGCCGCCCGCCTCCACGTCGACCTCCACAGCCTCCACCTGAGTTTGGTGTGAGTAAGGGTCAGAAGCTCGCGTGAGTGGCGTGGTGGCCCGGCCTGCGACGGGCCAGGGAGCCCCGCCTCCAGGTCGACTTCCACCGCCTCCACCTGAGTTTGATGTGAATAAGGGTAGCTCACGTGAGTGCTGGCCCGGCCTGCAACGGCTCGCCGCCCGCCTCCAGGTCGACCTCTACTGCCTCCACCTGAGTTTGATGTAAGGGTCAGAAGCTTGCGTGCCCCACTCAATGAGTGGCGTGGTGGCCCGGCCTGCGACGGGCCAGGGAGCTCTGCCCGGTGGTAGCGGTGGTGCCAAAGCACGAAGAGGACCTGGCGCCGAACAAATCCCTCTCCGTCATGCATGTGCTGGCGGTCTCTGCAAGTCGCTGGCCACTGCCGCCACCACCGCCACTGAGTACAGCCACAGGGAAACCTTGAAACGAAAGCAATTCGAGGGGTGACTCTTCACACGGTGAATCCGAGTCCCGGGCCTCGGATCGCTGCCCCGCCTCATAGGCTCGCAGAAGCTCCACGGGCGTGCTCTGCAAAGCCCCGTTTGGCCTCGCAGCAGTTGACAAGGAGGAGATCATTCGTGACTCTATCTCTTGAAAGGCTTTCTGAAGTGGAATTGTGCCGAAGAAGGCACGCAGCCCGACGCTCCGGGGACCAGGCAGGCGAACTGCTTCTTTGAACAGCAGGTGGGACATGCTACGAGTAGCTACGGCTACGGCGCACCCTGCAGCAGAGCTCTGTTGCTGCGGCATTCTTGATGCAACCGCAACCGATTGCGTAACTGGAGTTGCCACCCAACTTTCATTGGACTCCCATCGCACACTCTTAATATCTCTTAATAGCCCTCGGCAGTGTCTGCGGCAAAAGGGTGATGACATGTGCAGCAACCCACAAACACAGGCCGCCAGGTGTCTCAGTGTATCACGTGCAATCCGAGCGAAGAGGCACTTCCACGCAGCCCTCTGCATTTCTCTTCGTCTGCGGGTCGGGTGGGGTCAACCCTACGGACTCTGGCGGCTCAAAAACACCCCGAGAAAGCAGGGCGGAGATCTGCAGAGATTGCAAAGCCATCCTTGGCAAAGGCAACAACTACATGGCTCCTAGCGCAGTTCAAGCACACTATACTATACCACAGCCTGCAGTTTTTCCCGCCAAGTGTCTGTGCCAGAAACTAGCAGCTCCACGAACGCCAGTTGCCCTCGCTCCTCTCGTTGCGATGAGCTCCTGCTGTTTGATTCGATTAAGCACCTTGGGTTTTCTCTTGCAGGGTTACACAGTTGCCCTGATCACCATCTCTGAGACTGACCTGGGCAGTGATAAAAAGACTGCACATTAAATTACAATCATTACAGCATGCTTGAACTCCCGAGCAACGCACGCAGCTGGCCGTGGCGGACAAGGGCGAGTGGGCAGCGCCAGCCGTGCCCCGGGGCGGAAGCGGACAGGAGTAGGGGCCTCTTGTGAGTTCGCGGTGTCAGTGCTGCGACCTCGCAAGCACTCGGGGAGCTCCCGCAAATCCACACGCGCGTGCTCCACGAGGCCGGCTTCGAAATCGTGTCCCAGGATCGCAAACTTCCGCCTGGAAGGGGCAGGGAGCCGGCCCGGCCGGCCCGCGTGCGCGCGCATCAATCTTATCTTGTCCCACCTACAGGATAAAAGGCTGGTTGCACCTCGTCATATCCTCAAGCAGAAGGGGTGCTGATACTTGCCAAAGCCATGAGAAGACGACGGGAGCCCGCACAATGGTCAACGTCGCCGCCATTTCCGGGTAGTTGCGGTTGATGGCACGGGAAAACTGCTCAAGAACAGACATGTGCTGGAGCCACGACAAACTCACGCCATCCACGTCTACGATAGCAGAGAGCTTGACCAGGGATCGCTTCGATAATGACACTGAGCGGCAGTCCTGAAAGGCTTGCTCAATCAAAAAGATCCAAGGGTCCATGAGGTCATCAACCATGTCTTCTCTGACCGCCCCTTCTAGGTCAAATTCTCCAAGCCGCAGCACAATCACAGGACCGCCAGAAGCTGTTCGAGCAGCTATGCATCGGCCAAAGAAGTGAGGAGCCAACGCCTTCGCTCTTTCAGTTTGTGGCTCCCAGCTCCAGACCATGTCTTTCTGCACGCCCCACTCGTGCATAATCCTGCAGAGGTCGGTCCTTGCCCTCCAGTCACGTGCCTGAGTCACACGATCCTTGGCTTCCATCAGGTTTTCCGGCTTGCCTAAGAGGAAGCGGGAAAGCGTAAGAGGGTCGTCAAGTTCGAAGGACCAGTCTTCGACAAAGCGTTCCAGAGCAGCGACAGGAGCAACGAAGTCCTGCTTGCCAGGATAACCCCTTGCGAAACTTTTGAAGAGGCAAGAAGAAGCGAGCTCCCGGTGAATCCTATTCAACTATTGGTTATGCAGCATGAAACTGCCACCACGCCGACTTGCCTTCTGCGGTAGCCACAACATGGGGTCCTCTGCCAAACCTGCAGCGATGAGGCGCGATCGGTCTGCGGCAGACACCTCGCCGTGAGTCATCTGCCAGATGCTGTCTTTCTCGATCGGGCGGAGTGCTCCAGCCAGCGGGCCGGAGTGAGGAGCAGCCCGCCGGGCCCGGCTAGGGGGGGTCGCCGAGTGCATAAAAAACGGAGAGTCGCGCGCCTCAGAGCCCCCAAGAAAGCGCTGGGCCCATGGCCGGGGCCACGCCACGCCGCAGCGGCCACACGCAGCGCGCGACTCGCGCGACTCGCGGCGCCGGAGTGTGAACTGGAAAGCAGAAGCTTACGCAGCCCAGGAGAACTTTGTGCTGGGCGCTGGTAATGAGTGTGATGCTTAAGTTGAATTTTCAACGACCCCGCTAGAATTGAGAAAAGGCTTGATATCGATGTCATTTCCTGCAAGGTGCCACCATCTGCATGATTGCACTCACAGACTGCAATCAGTGACCTACCTGCCAACATAGTCAGGCTATGTGAAACATCATGGCCAACAGGAGTTGATACTGTCAGTCTGAATATGTCTGAATGTGATGAGAAATCTCGAGAACCTAGCAGAGTGCTAGTGGCTTGGCAACACGCCTTCTTTCTCACGCAAGGGTGTGCGAGTCTAGGAAAGAGTAGACTTGCTCTCAGCCTTACCTTCGAGACGGGATGAGAGCTTGTGTTAGATGCAGTGAATGCGGCAGGCAGACCCTTTTCGGCGCAAGACTGCGTACTATCGCCGTCTTCAGGCTAACCGTACCTTATATTCTGGCACATGCTGCAGTTGATGTTCAATAATACTCCTGTCCTGTCACCTGCATCCACCACTGCCGACGAAAATGGTGTTACTCCTGCAAGGAGTCCATACGCAGTCCATCGAACTGCAGCGCTTCTTTGGTTTCGACACTTTCGGTGGAGCCACTTACGATCAACACACACTTCATGGTTTTTGTTGCAAGGTGGACACTTGCACGCGTAGTTGCAGGGTGTCGGTGTGTGGCATCACAGCCACCCGGTGAGACACTGCGAACTTCGATGCTAAGTGGGTGCACATAGCTGGCTATCTGCATGATACTGGCTGAAACTGGCAGGAACTGGTGGCTTACACTGGCAATTGGCAGCCATGACGATGAACAGCCAGCCAGTGATTCGGGAACTTTGCAGCGTGAGAAAAGTCAAAACTGGCAGGAAGAACTACTTATCTTCTTCTGGCAGAGAAAAGCCCGTCGTGGTCCGAGGCTGCATGCGCACCCTGCCTCCTTGCCCGGGCAGGGAAGTGGAGAATCGCTCTGCTCCAAGTCATTCCAGGTTTGTCCCGAGATTTTGACATGATGCTCGCAGCTAGCCTCTTGACATTCACGAGGGTGAGTCACGGATGAAAGTCATGCAACTGGTCGAAATCGGTGTCTCTGATGACTGGAGTTTGCCGTACGATCCGCTGCGGCTCGGTTGGAGAATATCGTGGAACCATGAGGAAGTCGAAGATTGATGGCAAATTCCCAACGCAAAGCTCTCTCTTAGAAACAACTTCGAGAGGCTTAAAACCGCGGATAAGCCGATTACGGGTTCCGCGCATCGGTGAGAATCGCTGAAGGCGCGTCCGGAACTGGCCCAGTCTAAGGCCTCGCCTATCTCAAGGCCTTCGGACCTCGAGATCGAGACCAGGTCTCAGGGAGGACTGGCCATGGCCGAGCTGCCGCTGGAGGGCGTCGGGTCCTGTGATGAAACCCGCCCCAGGCCCCCACGACCCCACGGCCCTTCTCTTCTCTTCTCCGCGGCGGCCTGCACCGCGTGGTGGCGCTGCCCCCCCGGCGGAACACTGTTCGTGGCTTGCGTCCCCGGCCTCCGCAAGGCATCGCAAGGCCACGTGCTGCATCGTGCTGCACTGCTGCAGAGCTGCATCTGTCCACTGCACTGGCCTGCTTTGCTCTCCCGCCTGCAGGGTGGGACCTGCAGAAGAAGCTTCTCCACATCTTACGACAGGGGTGGCGAGCCTTTCAGCCGAGCCTGCAGAACTGGAAGCTGCTCCCGACGAAGCAGGAGCTTGCGAGGATGAGGCGCCGTTGCCTGAGCTTCGAATGCAAGCAGCTCAGCAGGACCCGCGAGACTTCGAGGCGAGAGGCTGGAACTTCCGCTCACGCTCCCGCCGCTCCCGCCCCAGCCGAGCGTGCCCATGATGTTCATCCTCGGCCAAGGCCTGCTCAAAGCGCAGGCGGCCACGCCAGAGTCTCTCTACCACCGCAAGGGCGGCTGTCCTTCTCCAGAAGCGACTGTTGGCGGAATTGGACGTTGGCTTTGGCTGGCTGGGTGGCGCCGGCACCAAAGACCTCGTCAAATCGCAACGCCAAAGGCTGGCCTGACGAAACATCTAGCAGAATCTAGCACCACACACCCTGTTCTACAGTGGAATAGACGAGCACAGGCACTGCATCTGCAGTCCATCGGCTGCTGCTCCTGACATGCCGAAGGCGGCACTTCCAGCGTGGTGTCCCAGATCGCGCATGGTCCGTCAGCCTACTGACAGAAACTTACTGCTTTTCTGCGCCTTGATTCTGTGCAGGTGCCGCCGAAGTACCTGCGGCTGAACCAACCTGAGCAACTTCGGGAGTGGAGCAAATGTGCAGCATTCTGCAACTTTCGCTTGGTCATACAGTTTGGCTTGGGCACGACCCGGCTCAGGTTGGGCAGCAACGGCCTGGCAGTTTGCCGAAAGTCCGGAGCGGAGCATCAGAGCATCCTGAAACACTTTCGCGGGCCTTCTCTGACCGGTCGGGGGCTGCTGCGGCGGGTGTGGCACATGTTCGGCTCCATGTGCCTCCTGGTAGCGGAGAACACTGGAGAATGTGGAAGCGAAAAATGCTGGAGCACGCTGCTGAACGGAGAAGCGATGAAACGGCTTATCAAATCTTCTTCTACAGCTGTCCTCATTCGGCCGATCACGCGAGAAGTGCCAAGGTAGGCGCCCTTCAGCTAGTGCCGACATTTGGTTCCGCATGCGGCGAAGCGCCAGCACAGCTGGTCCGGCTACGGCCTCTCAAGCGATGCGGCGGGCTGGTTGCGGAAGGAGTGCTGCCGTTAGATTCAAGGCTTGCCTGGCGAGTCTCCACCTGGCTCTGTCGGCCAGGATCTGCCTGATATCCCCAAGCGAAGAACCGAAGGAAGCGCATGTACAGACTCCGGTGAGCCCTGTGCCTGCGGAGAGGAGGGTCGCGCCGAAGTCCCGAACTGAGGCACAGGACCTGCCCGAACAAAGATCTGTCAGCCTACTATATAGCGCATTGTCACATTGATGCAAACTCGTGGTCCTGAGGTGACAATGACAGGTCGCATTCACCCTATTGGCACTAGATGCTATTCACTGGCTAAGAGCGACCATGCAGCCTGTGCAAACTTCCCTACGCGCAGTCGGCCTGGACCTCGGAAGTTGAGCTCTTCGGCGATAGCTGCGTGCTGTGGTGAGGGAACGCCCCGAGCGGTCGCTGGCAACTGCTCCTGTTTTCGGCTTCCATTTGGACTCAAGCACGTACATCGTCTCTGCTTCAAGCTTATGCTGCCAATGCGGCCTGCCGCCCATGGGGATGCGAATGGGCAGATGCCGCCGCCCACGCCCTGAAACGAAAGCTGCATGGTGCTGCATGCTGGATCCCCTGTGTCGACAACAGCTTTTCGGGACTGTCTGGCGGCTGGAGTCACTCTGACACTGACGTCCGTGCACCTCGCAGCAGCTGCAACACGGGCAGCTCCAGCTGTCCCTCAGAGTGAAGAGATTTCTGCTGATTGTGTGTTGGGCTGGCATCGTTATCGAAAATGCTCGGAAGTTACTCTCCATTGCATGCAGCTTGGAGCCACACGCTGCTTGATGGGCTCAGGAAGTTGCAAAAAGTCTGGCGGCTCATCGTGAGAATACAAGGGTCCTGCACTTCTTGGGTTACAGGGAAGCAGCCAAAACAGCAGCCGTCCTTTGGAAGGAACTATCAAGTGGACACAGCCGTCAGGCGCCTGCAACAAGCGAAACATCACGAAACAATGCGAACGAAGCAGGGGAGTGAGGGAGGGAGGGGAGGGGATGAGAAGCACCGAGGGCTGATGTCGTTGAACACACCTAGAGACAGCCGGCCTGGCGGCTGTAGTCCCTAAATGTCGGCCGAGCATCGTTGAAGACTTCCGCAGTGCTCACCTCCAACGGCGAAGATGATAAGCACGAGTGCGGACAGACTTAACGACCTCTCGAGCCATCTCGACCCTTTCGGGAAAGCTTGTCAGGACAGCTCGGCACGAATTGAGCCGCTGCCAGCCTCGGAATCTTCTGCCTCTGTGTCGACGTCTTGCTTGATTTCCACGGCATAGCCTGCAAGCGACGTTCTGCAAGCAAGCCTGTCAAAGAGTCAATATCGGTGATTGCCTGGACCTGCGTCATCCAGGCACTTCTCATGGTATTCGTCCTCCACCTTCGGGGAGTCGCAGCAACCAACCAGCATGTTCTACAAGCTCAAAGTTAAGCTTCGTGCGTTCTTTGCATCTGCAAAAGGGAGAACTTGACGATCCATTTCTCGCTGTTTCAAAGCTTCTCTACCTCAGCGGGAAACCGTCAACAGTTGCCATGGTGTGGCTTCGGCACGAAGACTCCGACTCCTGACCGCGGAGACGAGCCGACGGACCCGAGGAGGTGCAACTGGCACGTATCGCACCAGCGACCTGCGCAGAGCAGAGCGAGCAGAGCGAGCAGAGCGGCGGGTCGCTCTCCCTCTCAACGTTCCTACTTTCCTATGTGACTTCCAGGCGTTACCAGCCTCTCCGGGGTCAGCGGTTCCTGCATGTCCTCTGGAGCTCGCGGCCGGAACGGAATGAAAGCACCGTCCTGCGGCTTCAAATGGCCATGTGGGCCTGCTAGCTGCGCTGCACGATTCTGAAAGAGAGCTTCCCCAAGCGCTCCTTTGACAAAGGTTCGTAGACGGCAGCGAAATCGTCGACATTGTCCTGTCCAATGCAGGGATCACTGAACTCTTCGACGCTGAGGCGAGTCAGTGCTCTCCTTCCACGGAGCACAGGCATTCATCGGCCCAGAACGTAATGTGACTGGCTGACACCCTTCGGTGCCAGCTGATCGGGGCTCGGCCTCGGAGGTCCAAAACGCCAAGAACTCTCCGTTGGCCTGGGCCTCTCTGGGCCTCTGGCCACGAATCCGTTTGGAGCTGGCGGCCCTTCAGGTGAAAGTCGAGCGGTGATCTGCAGTTTTGCTGTCACAATCTTCTCATTGCCTACAGACCTGGACCACAACACAGCGGAGATTCACTTTTGTTGCATGGCACATGGCACATCACGGCACTTCCGCTGACAACACTATGGAGTTGTTGCCGCAACGACGAGCTGGCGTGTGCAATCCCACCTTTTCGGTCCATGTCTATGAAAGAAACATCCGCGCAGCGTGTTCTTGTCTACGCCTACGCCTACTAGGCACAAGGTCTTTCGGAAAAGAACTTCATGGGAACATGATTGTGCTTGCCGGTCAAGGTTTGGTTGGGTTGCAGGAAGCATGCTGCAATGACGTGAAAGTACTGGGATCATCACAGATCATAATGATCACAATGCTGGCAATGAGGCTGTGTGCGCCCTGCACTTCTGGCATCACCAAAGATCGGGGACTTAAAATCTCAACATGCAGCAAATGCTATCTCACTTCTTGACTCCGTGTGCTTGGCATGAATCTGCCTCTCGCTCCTCCGCACAATGCAACACATGTCGTGTGTTCCAACCGGGCCTAAAGTGACGCAGTCTCAATGCAATGAGCATTGGTACTCAGGATTCAAAGAGAGGCATAGCCCAGGTCTAGATCTGACACAAACCACAGGCTCGGCAAGGACGTGGTCACATGGGTCGTGTTGCAGAAAATGTCGACATCTGCCTTCCTCCAAGAGGTCCGGAGCTGCAAAGCACAGGCTTGTCTCTATCAGCAACACCTCTTGGCCACGCGTCGGGTGGAGGCTCTACAGTGTTGTCAGATCAGCATGAACTCATTGTCTACGATGCAGGAAGGCGAAGCCTCCAGCATGAATGCTAGATTCCTGCTGGACTTGCGCGTTGGCAGCGTGCCGCCTAATTCTGCCTGAGCCAAGGCTTTCGCTTGTGAGATAAGCTGAAGCAACGTGGGCAGTGGAGCTCAATGACGGCTGGCAAGCGCTCTCAAGCTTGAAATTTTGAACTCTGCTCGCCAATCACTCTGCTTTCTTCGCCTGCGAGGATCTCACTTTTTGCAAGCGGACTTCACACAGCAATCCAAGCCAAATCGCAGCTCCCCACGGCTACGCAAATGTGCGTCCACCTTGCTTTTTCGAGCTTTGCCTTGCGTCTCCTTGGAGTCCTCAACTGTCGTCATCAACCCCAGAAGGGCAGAGGGGGGGGCTGAATAAAAAGGTTGTCCTGCTTCAGAGCTTCCTCTGAAAGCTTCTGCGCCTGATCCAACAGGGGATTTTATTTAGTCAAAGAAGCACTCTTCATGCAAGTCTCCCCACGTGTGCTGAGGTCGAAGCATCAATCGGAAAGATGACTTCCCTGAAGTTGCCGAGGCAGCCCTGCTCGCAGCGGGGTCATCACATGGCTGCACGATGTGGCTCGACTTACGAGTACCACAAGAAGACGCCTCTTCCGTGACTAGGACTGGGATTTAAACCCATCTGGAGGGGTCGCAGGAGAGAAACATGGGGACTTCCCACTTTTCCTGCATCTCACATCCGACATCTCCTGCGTTTTGCAGGAGGGCCCTCAAAGCCGCAGAGATGAGCAGAGACGGGCCCTCTTGTGGTTCCCATCCGTCGCGGCCGATCGAACTTTGCAACGGCACAACATGGCTGTGACCACCATGTCTGTCTACGCAAGAGAGCACGCAAGTCTAAGCGTGCATCCCCGACCGTAGCTTTGGTCTTTGTGAGACTTCACTGCCCTCCGAAAACCGATCCATGAGATGACTGACTGTGACTGGATGTGACTCAAATTACTCGGACACGGGCACTGGGTGATCCGCTGGGGCTGCACAACACCTAGACTGCAACAGGCCTGTACAAAATTGCTTGTGCTGAAGCTGCAAAGGTACTCGAGCCCACATTCTCCAATACTTTCGGGAGAAGGGCATGTTAAAACAGTCGTCAGCTGCATCGCCGAACAGAGGCAGCATTGACATGGACCGACCCTTGCTTCTACTACGTTGTCTGTGCCAGTGCACAACTCGACCGACTGGATCTCCTTTCCGAGCGTTCCGGGCTGGACGGAAAAATCCTGGCTCCTTGCTGCAAACAGGTGCTTGGGATATCCTGTCGCACAGGAAAACCACTCAACATTGCTTGCCTCGTCGCTGCTCGCTGAAGAATCTCTCTTGGTCCAGCTGAAATTCTTCTTCTTGTCGTCGCAGACTGGACAGCACATCACAAGTACTGAACCAAGACAAATGCAGTTTAAAGCATGAGCCAGAAGAAACGGAAAGAGCGACGGGAACACGACTAAGATCCACGCAAGTCTTCGATGTTTGTTTCTCCCAGGTCTGATTGGTTTAGCTCGTCCCGAGTGCTGTACTCCAGGAGCAGACCTGCAGGCCCGGTCTGAATCGAAAAGCTCTTCACCCTCCGCTTTTGCGATCAAAAGCACCTGTCTGGCGGAAGAAGTCAACGAACTCCGGCCATGTCATCGAAGCACCACCCCCTGCCCCCAGCTCCTCCAGCATTGCCTCAACACAAACTGCGTGAGTTCTGCTGACCGCCAAGGACACCCACCAAACAAAAATCCCACAGCTCCGGCGACACTTGGGCGTCCAAGGTGCCCTCACCCACTGCATGTCGTCCTGGTGACTCGCAGGACTGTATGGCTATGTGGGGCTGGGTCCCTAGGTACTTTGAGTTGCTTTTGGCTTTCAGTCCCGGGTGAGCTTGCCAGCCGTCGGCCTGCTCTCGGGCTTCAGCTGCCATGATCGGCCTTCGGACTTCTCTCTCAGCAGGAATACGAGGTCCATGATCTCCTGAAACACTTCGGTGCTAGAGTTTGCGGTGCAAGGTTTCCAGGTGTGTCAGGTGGGGGCTCTGGTTCTTTTCCACATCGGTCCTGGTGCTTCATCATCCCCAGGATCAACTTGCGCACAGTGACCTCGCCCGAGCGGCTCGTGTCCAGCAGCAGGAACCATTCCTCTAGCCGCGAGACGCTGTACGCGACACCCGGGCGAAGACGTGCCATGCCCTCCTGCACTGGCTGTCGGAGTTTCGTCAGAAGTGGTGTTTGCCTCTCAGGGCTCTTCGACAACGTAGAAGTAGGATCCTTCTTGTCCTTCGGTGGCTCCAGGGATGGAACTCCCTCGGGCGGATGCTTATGTCGCACATTGCTGTACCGCCTGTTTTGTTCGGAAGTCGGCAATGGGAAGTGATAGTGCGCCGTCTTTGCGACCAAGGGCTGGAATCGGGAACTGATTCTCATGTTGTACTTCTCGCCAAGCTCGACCTTGTCATTTTGGAGCAGAATCTCTGCCAGCGGTGCCTGCCCGGAAATGAAAAGCCAACAGAAACAGGCCCAGGTCTAGGTTTCGGACGAGCATAGGGCATAGGCTGAAGAAGCTGCCTCCGACGTGGGCAGCTGCCACTCGGTGAGGCCACTGAGCAAAGCCGTTTCACACGGAGATGCCGATGCTGGCTTGCAAGGGCCAAACCCTTTCCCATAGCCGTGGCCGGCCTCCAGACCCCCGAAATTTGAATTCCATGCCCACGTGATTCTACAGGGGCAAAGGAAGCTGAGCACGGCACACGGTAGGCTTCTGCCTCCTTCAGTCCTTGTTGTTCACCTGAGTTGTCATGTAGGATTGTTTGGCATTGTCTGGCTTGTTCCTACGGTCCTTCCTGTACTTAGAACATAGACAGGAAATTCTTGGGGTAGCAGTCCGCACAAACTACTTGCACCTTCGCCTGCAGTCTTGAAAACTATCTCCTGTTGCATTGACTTGCGAGAATAAAGCGCTAGGGGGTCCAGTCTCTAATCGAGCACCTGTGCAGGGGCGCCTCCCGGATATTCGTGAATGCGCGTGGGAAAACGGTCTTATGCTCTTCGTATAGGTCATTATAGCTCCGTTCTGGAGACCGCGCATCTGAAGGATCACAGGAAATCAGTGAGACAGTAATGCGGTCTACGCGAGCTACACAGCTGCGCGCGATGTTTACGTCGATTTTCTGGGGCCTGAGTGATTGGTTCAAGACGGTCTCCCCTGTGTTGGCCCGAGCGTGAAGATGCACTGTACAAGGCTTCAAAACCGCAGGCTGTTTCTCTCGTTTGCATCCGAAGGTATGCAGAATCTGCCCATGCTGGGCATCCTCTCCTTTACCCATCTCGGCACTAGCAGTAGCATCGTCAAAAGCAAAAGCCGGAGTCTGCATTGGTACTACACATGATATTTCGCTGTTCAGAAACTGGTTGCCCTTCGAAAGATCAGCTGTTGAAGAATTTTAGGCGAGACTCAACAAGTATCAGTAAGTGGTCAAATATTCTCTCGAGCCTAAATAAGATATCGCCATGACTTTCCTGTGTGGATCCGAGACGCTCGTAAGACCACCCCTGAGTCCACAATGCGCACCGCACTATGGCAGGTGCGCACTCCCACCAGAAAATGAGGTTTAGGGGACTGTGGTGCGCCGTGCTGGAGACCAGAACGCATGGTTTAACGTGGCAACACACGGACAAAGCAAACACTGCTCAATGAAACATGCTAGAGAGCTGTGTGCCAACACCGGAGTGACTGGAAGACTTGTGATATGCACCTGCCAAGTCGCGACGACTATTCCCGCGGGCTGCGAGGCGCGCGAGCATTGAACGAGGCTTTGCCATCGTCTTTGCTCGAGCTCCGCTTCGCCTTAAGCCCCAAAGGCAGGCTCGATTGGAAGCCCGAAAGAAGTCTGTGTCTGATATTCCCTGAGACCTGGGAAGCCAGCGGTGAGACCTGCGGCTCGGTGGTGTTTGGCCGCGATGGCAGCGATGGAGTGGAGGGCGACATGGCTCTGCCTGCGCAGGGCTGAGTCTCACAGCCCGCCGCCCGCCCTTTCTGGGGCCGCGGCCTGTCGTGGCGGAGGCGGTCGAGTCGGGTCGCTCCATCTTCGCAGCCATGACGCTGCCCACGCATACACACGACACTCGTGCTGCCGGAAGAAAGCGTAGAGAGGCTCCGTTCTACGTTTACATGCGAAAGCTTTTGCTGCTGTGCTTTTGCGTTCCTTCATGAGCATCTCTCTGCTGAATTCTGGAATTGACTGGCAAGAGAGGAAGCAGCAGCAACTCCCACGAAACATATGTGCACAATGTGGCCATGGGGCGGTCTTGAGCCGTTGGGAGCTTAGCAAGGCTTCTCAAAGATACATCGGATGACACCTCTTGAAAATCAGTCTGCAATGGACGACAAGATGTGTCAAGTGCACTAAGACCTGGTCATACTCATTCACGAGGAGCTTCAACTTCTCCTTTCCCTCCGGACCTTCCTCGTGAACCAGACACGCGCAGAGTCTGTCGAAGACAGCTGCCAGGTGCTAATCGGGTCTCGGGCGTGTTTCAAGCACATCCTGACGTAGCTCCACTTGCTCAGCTCGTTCGTTGTGGTCCCTGGCCGAGCGATTCAAAACACGAAAAGAACTCCACCGACAGTTGCAGCCGAGGTGGCTGGACCTGCTTTCACTAAGTACAGGTGCCAGCCGAAGAAGCCGAAGAGCACGACTCCCATAATGCAACAGAGGGCGCAAATGAACACCACCATGCCCTGGGCTGCAAAATGCAACAAAACGGCTGGAAGACGGGAGCCAGGCCTCCGTGGCAAGCAAGTACTGCATCACCATGAGCTTCGTCGCTTGAAACCGTTCCTGCGTTGCAACGCAGGAAGGCATAGAGAGAGACAGAGCCGAGCATAGCGGAGCCGAGGCCGGCGCGCGAGTGTCCGGACGAACGAAGACGGCGCTCAGGAGCTCCTTCTGCACCTGCCACGCTCTGCCATGCTCAGAGCTCCACATAGCTCCGCGCTCTCTGCCCGAGGGATCTCTTTGAGCCGGCTTACGATCAGGTTGTACAGGATTGTCGCCGTGAGCCCTTGGCTGCAGAAGGTGTGAAGGTTGGGATGTCTCGCGGTCTGATCGAGCAACAGCCAGGGCCGAAGCCGAAGCCGTAAAAGCAGATCACGAGGTGTGCACCCAGAAACCTTGGGCAGAATCTGAGCCTTAAGAGAGGCGTGACTGCACCATCAACTGAGGCGAGTGCGCTAGGAAGTACTTGTGGTTTCCAACACCCACGCAGTTGTTGATCCAAATGCAATGGTGGTCGAACCTGCGACGCGGTTTCGAACAAGCAGCCTGCCATGCGAGATGGCGCTGGCCCGAACCTTGCCACGCAGTGGTTGCACAGGGAGCAGTGCTTGGAGCGTGCCGGTTTCGCAAGCTCGCAAGATCTGCAGACGGCCATGTGAAAGATCTGCTCGTCCCACTGCAAGGCACAGGGCGATTCTCGAGCTTAGATGAGCAGTGAGCAGATGAAGATCAGTCAATCAGGCTGCTTGTCAAAAATCCATGACTTCAGCACTGTGAAGCTGTCAACAAGTTGCCATCGCCTTCCAAATCTCGCAAATCTTGTCCAGATTCTGAGGAGTCACAATCCCCGGATCGGCCTTGTTCAAGACTCCACGACACGTTTAGCAACACGATCCGTCACGTGAGACACGAGCTGTGCAGGCTCTCCACCAGATTGCCAGGCAAGTAGAGAAGATACCAAAACCGATGTACTTGTGGACATTGCTAAGCAGCCTCAGTGAGAAAACGCGGCCATGTTCTTGGTGGACTGATTCCAGACGCATGCCATCAGAATCATACGAGCTTCCAGCTTGTTCGGAATGTGAGGGTGGCTGTATGCCACAAAGGTGGCGTAGCCACCCACCACGACGAGCAACTGAGCAAGCGGTAAACAAGCGGCAGAGATCCGTGGGACAAATTTTGTCATGCTGAGATCCCCGCATAAAATATCTGCACCAACGGATTGCTTGTGTAGCAAACGTACACCCAAGCAGCGTCCAACACGGCAGGAGCTCTCTTGCCGAAAACCTTCTCTAAAGCCTCAGGGCTCGAGATGGCACCGCATTGCTCTAAGAACCCACATAATAAGAGGTGCGCGGCGCCTTCTTGAGCAGTCTCGGAAAATGCATGCAGAAGAGGCGGTAGAGCTTGTCGAAGAAGGAGTTTCCATGCTCTTTGCCCCATAGGAAAATACCTCCAACAATCTCTGCTGGACACAGCAACATGAAACCGAACAAAAGCCGCCACAAGCAGGGCACCAACTCCGACACCGCCGATCAAGATGTATGCAGCGATGGTTACGTAAAAGATGCTCATCAGCGGCAAGGTTCCGAATTCACTTTGTCTAAGTTGAAGCAAAACATTGGGGTACCTAACCCAATCCAGCTTCTCGCTCTAAGGCTCCAAAGGTGTTTTCTGGTCCTATCCACATGCCACTGAATGCCTGTTTCACTGCGTGCTACATGCTGCTACATGCTCAACTGGTTTGGCGTTTCTGCTAGAGTCATGTCAGCTGCAGAGGCAGGAAGCGACTTTCAATGCTCCATGCGTAGTGGCGTAGTGGTGTCGTTCAGGCGATCAGCTGCTGGAAAGCACAGCATTTTCCGGCCTCCGTGACCGTGATCACTGTAGCCGAGGTGAGACCGCGTGAGACAAGGGTGAGACATGGTAGAATGCTGAGCTATCTCGCAACAGTCATGGTTCCCATGCTGGTGCTCCTGGTGTCCATGCCCACCTGAATTGGCGACAACATGCCGTGACGAACGATTACAGTGGCTGTTTGCTGATATTTGCAGATCTCCAGCCTTCAAGACGATTCGCCCTGTGGCTTCATCTATTTGGCGTTTGGCTCGAATGAAGGTCCTGGGAAGGCATGTCAGGATTGTGAGATGAACTTGAAACCGGCTCTGAAGCTCCGCAGCGAAGAGCTTCCTACGCTTGGCCGCAGGACGCCGCAGGGGAATTTACGCCGAGGCACTGTGGAAAGACGTCAGCACGAGTTTTTGGAGCTGCTTGGACAGTTTCCTCACAGAAGCCAAGCAATCGTCATCGCAGAAAATCGCAGCGCCCTGGGGCCTTGCCTTGCGGTTCAGCTCCACATGATCTTTCAGCGTCTTCGTGCCTCGAAGCAGCTGCAGTCGGTCGTGCTGGGGAGATCCGCTAGGGTCCCGCACCCTCCAGCCGCGATGCATGCGTTCGCAGCTTGCCCTGTCATGGAGACGCACATCTTTGCATGCATTAAAGCCGTAGCAGAGAGACAGGGCGAAGAAGAGCTTTCGAAAGACTTACAATCACTTCCCAGGTCGGGGTCACCACAGTCTCTGTGTCACCAGCGAATTCAGCACGTCGCATGTCTTCGAAGAGCTTGTCGATGCGCCTGGTCCACTCCATTTTTGCTAGCTGCTAGCTGTTCGCCCACCGGCAATGCCGTGTCATGCGCTGTCGCGAGCAGTCCTGTCAAGTAGCTCGTCGTCAAAGCGAGGCCAATCTAGTTTCCTGCAGCGTGAGTCCACTTGCATCAGAGAGGATCAGGACTCTGTACAAAACGCGCCGAGCTCGCAAAAGCCAAGTAATCACTTCTGCCGGGGGCATGGTCGCCTGACGACACAGGATGCTTCTGCTTCCGCACACACAAAGGCTTGGCCCACCGATGCGTCTTGCATCAGCTTGTCCAGAGGATGAGGCGTTGGCTTCACCTGCAGCCCAGGCAGCTCAGAGTCCCGCAGGCTCCCGCAGGACCCCTTTCGCAGCCGTGCCTTGCCCTTGGACTCGGTATGAAACTTCAGGCTGCGCGCCAGGGCTGTCATACCGGCCTCCACAGCATCCTCCACGAGTCAGAGTCTAAGTTGGCAGTTTTCTCAGCTCCCAATCCGCAAATTCGTGCGCCCCCCCCCCCCACCCGCTGTCCTGCTCCACGAGATCCTCGAAGACCGCTTCTGGGCTCTTCAGAAAGCGGCCAACTTCTTCGATGCCGGTCTCCGCGAGTTCCTTGGCCAAAGCCTCGACGTCTGCCCTCGTGAGCTCCTTCTTGGCCCGAGCCGCGATGAAGCCCCGCATCTCGTGGCACTCCCAGGGCGTCGGCCTCTCGCAGCTGCACCCAATGTGCAGTTACAGTCTACAGCGACAGTGTTGATTCCTTCCTGTCTCCATGCAGGGCATCTCGCACTATCCCACAAAGCCTCAAGGTCTCGTGAAGCACTTTTTTCCTGCGAACCCCGCATTCAGGGACATGTTGCAAAACGTCTGCCGTCGACAATACTTCCTGCTGCGCGAAACTGCAGAAGAACTGCTGGCTCCTTGGGTCCATCCATCGGTCCCGATTGGCTTTGAAAACTTTGCAGTCCGGCGGTGCGCCCTGGTCATACTGCCCAACCAAAACCCGCGACTTTCACCGCCTTTGCAAAGAGCATTTTGGCGCCTTGTCGACTGCGACGTGGAAGGACTTGCTCATGGAGAGCTCTTCTTCGAGCCTCGCACGCACGGTACAGCCCGGGCCCCTCGGGACTTTGGCTTTGGCATTGAGCTGTGCCTCCGTCTTTCCTGGATGCTGCGAGCTTCGTGGATACACTGCCTGGCAAGAGTGCAAGGGCCACTCCCTCCCGCGGCGATTGCCACGACAAGATGATACAAAATCAAACTCCAGCTTCGACACTCTTGCGCAGTGCATCCAGAACATCCAACTATTGGAATCTGTCTGTCTGATACCACGAGCTCATGTGCTGGACACTTGACTTTCCAAACTCGCCAAGACCATAATCCGCCGAGGCCAGAGGCCCAGGCGTCTTGGGTCTTACCTCAGGTACCTCCCCCCCCCCCCCCCCCCCCCCCCCCCCCCCCCCCCCCCCCCCCCCCCCCCCCCCCAACCCCCCCCAAACCCCCCCAAACCCCCCCCCCTGTGCCGATACACCCCCAAGGGATACTCCTTGTAAGGAGGTGTATGACCAGTTATTCCCTAAGGATCAAAGGGCAGCGCCCTGCACACGGACAGTAGTTGTTTTGTCTTGCTACGCAAGGAGAGCTTGTCTTGTCTCAATATGGTAAAACCACTGTGAGCCAATGGGCAGCGGAATGTATATGTATGAGCATGCAGCCATTGCTGTAGGTACCTGTTAGAGCTACCCCTTTAGAGTTTTATGGTTTCAAACAGACACTAATTTTCTTTTACCGGAAGCATGGCCGCACATTCACACATATACTGTTATGCCCACTGTCACAGTTGCGGAGTTTGGACTCATTATAAAAACAGCATATTGTTTATGCTAGGTATAGCACTGAAGTACACTGTTGAGGTCACTCCTTTTGCACACACTCATGCATATTGGTCAGAGAGATCATCTGTACAAGATCAGGTCTGGTAATGTTCTACTACCGAATTATGCAGCCCTTCATTGTGCTCTTGTCAGAGCCTTGCGATTCACTGTTGTGAAACTCTGAGAATTTTCTTATCTCAGATTCGGATCCAGGGTTGGATCATAGGCTCGAGCATAGACGTTCGGATGTGGCTCATCCGGGTCTGAGTGATCTTCTTCGGAACTTGAAAAGATTCCGAGTAATCTGTTCTCAGCCCTGGTGAAGGCGGCGTCTGCAGTATCATATCCATGGTTGGATGTTGTCGCCTTTGGCTCGGCCTTTGGAGCAGCTTGTGAGCTGACTGGAGTTGCCTTGGCTTTAGCCGGTTGTGGCTGCTTAGCCTTTGCCCGTTCAGCCCTTCTTCTTTCAAGCTGTCCGTCTGAGGACGCCCATGATCTTTCACTTTCATCTCCTGAAGGAGATAAGGCGTGGGCATAAAGGCTATTCCAGTACTGTGCTGCAGAAGGAGTTAGGACTTCTTCATTGTCAGATTCTGACTGGTCTTCCTCAGAGCTTTGGTCGTCAAAGAGTGTCTCGAGGACATTTTTGAGATTGTTATTTCTTCGCTCTATCTCTAGTGAGGAATGGACCAATTGGTTAAAGACTGTCCTTGAGTCCTTCAGTGCTGTTAGAAGGATTTCCACTCTGGATAGAGTATCTTGGATGGTGTCAAGATGTTCCTTCCTTTCCTCCTTGTCTCTCTGGATAGAGCTTCGCAATGATTGTGCGATTCTGAGGAGGTCTGTGTATTTCGCAAGAGGCATAGTTACCGTTTGATTGTCATGTATGACAGTTGTTTCGTCGCCGCTTAAGTTCCTGAATAGGACTTCCACGACTGGTAGGAACTCCGTGCTCCACGGTTCCTCTTCATCATATGTTTCTACGTGCTGTAGCACGCGTTGTGTAAACTGGCCGGCTGCTTCTACCGTTGCATCGATAGAGCTGACGTGTCTTGCTGCCATGTTTCGGCACGTAACGTTAATTGCCTGGCCTTGATTGGCTTCGTTAAGTGCAGCGTCTGCATAGGTGCAGAGTCCACTGTTGTGGGCTTCTCTAGCTGCCTTTCGTTGAATGCGCCGATTTTGACCTCCTCTTCTGGTAGGACCTTTTGGTCTTGGAGGATCAGAAGGTACTGTTCCTTTCGCCTTTGGCGGAGGACTCTTAGGTGGAGGTGATATGTTTGCCTTGTTAGGCCCTTGTGGCATTGCCTTGGGCGCTGATGACGATGCGGCACTTGAGAGTGCAGATGTACCTCTGGCCCTTGCCGAGGATCCCTTGGGGATCGATGTATAGGTAATCTGCATGGCTTCTTCGGCCATTTGTGCATGCAAGGCATCTTTGAATAATTGTGTCATATGAGGAGTGTTACTTGCATCATCGTAGGTCTGGAAGCGCTCAATGTCTCTTTCGGTGCCACGTGGGCGTGTATCACCTCTTTGGAAAGGATCGTTCCTGCGAATCTCCGCAACTTGTACTGCATGGAGGCAGTTTTTGCACAGCACCTTCTTGCAAACATCTCTTGCTTGCTTGAGCTGGTAACAGCTGTCTGAGAGATGGTAGACTTCGCTTCGGGAAGTATGCCAGATAGGTCGCAGATCAGTTGTTTCTCCGGAATTGACCCTGTTGGGTCCTAAAGGTTCACGCGTCTGCGGTTCATCCTCGGGTTCGAGAAATGGAACTCTTTGGTTCGCTGCTGCTTTTGATTTTGGTTGTTGGCGCTCCATACATCTGATAGGAGGCCTGGTAATCTGCTTCCACATCCAGTGTAAGCCCATTAGCAGCAAGAACACATTCCACGCGATGCTGAAGACGGAGAAGTCCTGCTCACTGGTTAGTGAGTTTGGAAGTGAAGTTTCATCAGTCTTGATAGACTCTGCGTTTGCTCCACCTTGGTTGCGGTGTCCGAACCAGCCCGACAATCCCGCTGCTGTAGCAGCTGTTCTGAGTGCCTTGCCGCTCGGAGCAGA